CATTTCCCTAGATTTTATGATCCTGAGTTTCTCTTTATTTGCCAAATCCAGCCTGTGAGAGAAATGCCTGTGGTGGTGGCACCCGGTACAGGAGTTGTCACTAAGTGGTCCTCCATGGAAAGCCAGCAGACCCAGTGGTCCCACTTCTTCCTGGTGGACTTAAGGGGAAGACCTCAGAGGTGGGTATGAGTGCAAAATCTTATAATCCAGGAGGTGGAGATGAGGATTACAAATTTGAGGACAGCCTGGGGTATACAGTAAAATACTATTTAAAAAAAAAAAAAAAAAAAAAAAGAGCCAGGTGTGGTGGCGCACACCTTTAATCCCAGCACTTGGGAGGCAGAAGCAGGCAGATCTCTGTGAGTTCAAGGCCAGCCTGGTCTACACAGTGAGTTCCAGGACAGCTGGGGCTACAGGGAGACCCTGTCTCAAAAAGACCAAAAAAAAAAAAAAACCCAAACAAACAAAAAAAAACAAGGACTGGGTGCTGGAGAGATAGTTCAGCAGTTGAGGGCTTCCTACCAGAGGACAGGAGTTTGGATCTCGGTACCCATATCAGACAGCTCACAATAGCCTGTAACTCTAGCTTCAGGGAATCAGACACCCTTTTCTGGCCTCCACAGGCACACACCCATGCCCATACATTTATACAGATACACATACAAATAAAAAATTTTAAAAACCTAAGGGCTTGGGCCAGTGAGATGGCTCAACAGATAAAAGTGTCTGCTTCTAAGCCTAATGACTTGAGTTTGATCCCTGGAACCAGCATGTTGGGAGCAGAGAACTGACTCCTGCAAATCTGACTTTACATGCTTTTTTCACACACACACACACACACACACACACACACACACACACACGATAAATCCTAGCACAAGCCAGGCATAGTGGCACACACCTTTAATCCCAGCCTGGTCTACATAGTGAGTTCCAGGCCAGCTGGGGCCATGGGAGACCCTGTCCCATGGGAGACCCTGTCTCAAAAAAAAAAAAAAAAATCCTAGCAATTGGGAGGCAGAGGCAAGTGAGTTCCAGGCCAGCCAGGGCCATGTAGTGAGGCCCTGTCTCAAAAAACCAAAATAATAATGATAATATTTATTAGTAGTAGTATGTCAAAAACAAAAGACCATAACTAAGGGCTGGAGGTTTAGTTCAATGATGAGTACTTGTGTAGCACATGCAAGGCCCTGGGTTTGACACCAGCACTGGAGAAAAAAAGAAAAACCCTTAACCACGAACAAAATGACAGTGCCAAGATTAGGGAATGCTCTCCCCAGATAAAGTTGGACTTTGTGTACACACCTGTGGTCTTAGCGCACAGGAAGCTGAAGCAGGAGAACTGGTGGAATTTGAGGGCACTCTGGGCTACAGAGTAAAATCCTGTCTCAAAAACCAAAAATAAATAAATGAAGTTCAATCTCCAGCACTACAAAAAAAATTTTTAGAGCATAAAATTGGAAATTTGGGGGGCTGGAGAGATGGCTCAGAGGTTAAGAACACTGGTTGTTCTTGCAGAAGACCCGGGTTCAAATCTCAACACCCACATGGCAGCTAACAACTGTCTGTTAACTCCAGTACCAGGGGATCCGACAGCCTCTTCTGTCCTCCTTGGACATTGCACGACACGGGTACACTTACCTACATTCAGGCAATTCACGAATACACACGAAAAATAAAAATAACAAAATATTTTTAAAAATTGGAAATTTGGGGGCTGGAGAGATGGCTGAGCAGTTAAGAACACTGCTCTTGCAGAAGGTCCGGGTTCAAATCCCAGCACCCATATGACAGTAACAACTATCTGTAACTCCAGTCCCAGGGGATCCTGACAGCCTCTCCTGACCTCCTCTGGCATTGCACCACATGGGTACACTTACCTACATGCAGGCAATACAAGTATACACATAAAATAAAAATAATAAAATTTTTTTTAAAATTAGCCGGGCATGGTGGTACACGCCTTTAATCCCAGCACTCAGGAGGCAGAGGCAGGCGGATCTCTGTGAGTTCGAGGCCAGCTTGGTCTCCATTAGCAAATCCAGGCCAGCTGGGGCTTTTTGTCTCAAAAGACCAAAAAGGGAAATTTGACCTTTTTTCCCCTCAGTCCCGAGAATTAAACCCAGGGCCCTGCACATACTAGACAGTGCAAGAACAGATAAGATCAGGGAATTTGCCACCTTCTGGCTGTGCCAGTTCACACCTGCTGCTCCCTTGCTCCCACCCTCCTTGGCGGTAATTGGTCTCACCAGCCCAGGGGTAGGAGCAAACTTAACTGTTCTGTGTTCTCCTGTGCAGGGCTGGAGGGGCGGGGACAGCAGGCTCCTGTTTGACAGAGGTGGGGAGAGTGAGGACAGAGAGGTAGGTGTGTAGGGCAGAGCAGGGGATGTGACTCAGTGGTAGCGTACTAGCCTAGTATGTGCAAAGCCTTGGATTTCATCCCTAGTACCTTAGCCCTAGGAGGAAAAAAAAAAACAAGCTGGTATAAACTAGTCATTTGCCACCAAACATTTATGCCTATCTCCTCTGTGCAAAGATTGTGAAAGATGATAGAAAGACCTCCTGTCACGGGAAGCAGAAGCAGATGGTGAGAAACACCACACTGGTACCTGAGCCGCCTGGAAAAGCAGGGGAAACGTCTTGTAAGTTAAGACTAAAAGGTGGCAGCATCCAGCCAGGTCAAGAGCAGGCAAAATCGCACCCAGGCCTTGCTCCAGAATCCCAATGTCTGCAATGAAGTGGGGCTGAAGAAACAGGGCAGAGACAAATCCTTGTCTTATGCTGCCTGTACAGGGAAAAAAAGATGGGGCGCTTGTCCTCCAGTCATTTCCACCTGGGGATCATCACGTGAGGATGCAGCTGAGGACGGGCTGTTCTTCCACCCTGGCTAAGTGGAACTGTTAGCTCAGGCTGAGGCCCAGGGGTTACATGACCTGGATCTCTGACCTCTGACCTCAGGGTCTGCCTCGGGCATCCGGGGCTCAGCTGCTCGTCCTGGGGCCTGGTCCAGGCATTGCACCAGAATTTGCTCTGGAAAAGTATCATTAAGAGCCCCAGCTACTTGGAAGGTTGAAAAAGGAGAATTGCTGGAGCCCAGGCGTTCCAAGGTAGCCTGGGCAAAATGGGCACATACCGAACCAAACCAAAAGTAAGGCTGAGGATGTAGCTCGGTTGGTGTGGCGCTTGCCTAGCCCTGGATTCAATTCTCAACATTGTGTAAAATCAAGAGTAGGGGCTGATGGGCCGGCTGAGTGGGTAAAGCCCTTGCTACTGGAGCACAAGGACCTGAGCTTGGCTCCACAGCACTGATGTAAAGCCTGCGGAGTAACATGACTGCAATCCCAGTGTCCTTACAGCAAAAGCGGAGGCACAGGCAGGAGAAGACCCAGAACCCCAGCTAGCCTGGCCTACACAGTGGAAAAGCAGTAAAGGCAGCATGCCTGGCTCTACGGTTCTGAGGAGACAGCTCAGGCCTCTTGTGTATGCTAAACAAGCACTCTACCAAATGAACTACACGCCATAAAATAATAAATATGCCAGGGCTGGAGAGATGACTCCGTGGTTAAGAACACTTCCTGTTCTTCCAGAGGAACTGGGTTCGATTCACAGCACCTACATGACACCCTCTTTTGGCCTCCTTGGTCACCGCACCAACACGGGTGCACTTACATACATGCAGACATAACACTCATACACATAGAATAAAAATTTTTAAAAAATAAGCCTTATCTCTCTCCCACCATCCCTCTGTTTCTTTCCCTCCCTCCCTCCCACCCTCCCTCTTTCTTAGTTTCCTTTTATTAATGGGAGGGGCATGTCCTATGGCCTTGTGTGGGGGTCAGAAGATAACTTTGTAGAGTCTCTTCTTCCAAAACCCTTGCTCTTTACATGCCGAGCCATCTCATCAGCCCCAGTGTGCCACAAAAGGGGTCCACCTGACCATACTGAAGTGCTGGACACATTAACATTTAGTGCCCCTCAGAAGAGAAATAGTCCTGGTCCTCACCTCAGAGTTGATGAAGATGGGGAGCTGGAGAGATGGCTCAGTGGTTAAGAGCACTAGCTACTCTTGCAGACGACCTGGGTTCGGGTTCACACCACCCACATGGCAGCCAACAATCTTCTGTAACTCCAGTTCCAGAAGATGGGGTGCCCTCTTCTGACCTCCCTGAGCCTTGCACAACACAGTGCTCCTACATACATACAGACAATACACTCACATACATCAAATAAAAATAAATAAAAATTTTAAATTTTAAAAAAGAGTAATCCCAGCATTCGGAAGGCAGAGACAGGTGGAGCTCTGTCAGTTCAAGGCCAGCCTGGTCTACATAGTGAGTTCCAAACCAGCTGGAACTACAAGGAGGCCCTGTCTCAAAAAAGACCAATAAATAATAAATAAATAAAAAGAAAAAGAATTGAGGGAGATATACATACACAGCATGATCTTCTGACCTCTATGGGCATTGCAGGACACAGGTGCACTTACACACATTCAGGCGATAGACTCATACACATCAAATAAAAGTAAAAATAAAAAGAATTATTGAGGAGATGTACATACACAGCATGGTGCATGACAGTGGAGGGAGGCAGCAACCATGCACTCAGGCAAAAGGCGTCCAGTCTGGTAAACTGTGAAGTGCGGTCCACCCAGAACTACGTCGTGAAGGCAGCACCACGCCCAGAGCCTTCCCCGAGTGCCGGACGCGGACCCGAGCGCCTACCAGGGAGGGCGGCCAACTAGAACAACTTCATGCTCTCCACCCGCGCCCCGAGAGCGCCCTATCGACTGCTCGGTGCTCTACACATCTGGCCCCGGGGGTGGGCGGGTCCATTTGCCCTCAGGTGTGTGTAACAGGCGCCAGAGAGAACCAATTGCGTAGGGCATGGCCCTGCCCCCGTCTTCTGATTGGCCGGCGCTGCATTGAGCGGTCTCAGCCTCCAGAAGGCAGGGATCCGGACGTCGCGGCACGAGCCCAGGACCTGCGAGCCCTTCGCGCTCTTCTTCGTCGGCTCCGTGCTGCCTGCCGCCGCCATGGCCCAGTGAGTGACCCGCACGCGCAGTCCGACCCGGGCTCGGGGACTTCCGGGGCTGCGTGCGGTTGGGGGAAGGGACTCCGCCTGGTTCTCCGCTGCCCTCAGCGCCGGGGTCGCGCGGCCTGGACCTCTGACCTCAGGGACCGCCGCGGGCTCCGCCGGCATCCCGGGGGTTCGGTCGCCCCTCCTGGCCCGGCGGAGCCCGACGCCGGCTGCAGGGGTGATGGCCCGAGGCTGGGCTCCAGGAAGGCTGGGCGTGCCCAGACGCCCACCGGAAGGAACTCCGAGGACCAGGAGCAGCGGGGTGCAGGGTGCATGCCGACCCCGGTGCTGTCTGCGAGCGAGAGTGTGCCGGGGTGTGGATGGGTAGGGTGCCGCCTACCTGTCCTGCCCGAAGCGATCAAGTGGCACTAACATCCTCGCTTTGTTCTTTCAGAGCTGACATTGCACTGATTGGACTGGCTGTCATGGGCCAGAACTTAATTTTGAACATGAATGACCATGGATTCGTGGTAAGTGGGGAAGACACATTGCCTTCCTGTGATGCACAGTGACCTGTTTTTCACAGATCCCACGGAGTCTGGAACATGCTTTTCTATGAGTGTGTGGGATTGCTTATTTTTGTAAAAGAAGTGCCACTCTAGTAGAACTAAGAAAAGAACTTCCTTAGATGAGTTTTGTAAAGGAAGTCAGATCTTGGTGCATGGGAAACTGTAGCTGTATTGGCTGCTGAGACATGGGACCAGTGAAAATGTTACTTTTTTCCCTTTGGAGACAGTATTTCACCTCTCACCAGACTGGACTCTAAGCCTCAGGGTTCAAGGATCCTTTCAACTGATTAGCTTAGACAACAGGGTCCTTCCCCCAGCAGTCCCTAAATGCTCCTTCTAAATCCTAACATGGCTCATGGCTTATATGCTAGGATTAGCAGGGACAAAAAAACCAAGCCTCTTGTGGTACTGGCTGGTTTGATTTGATTCTGAGTCGTAACAGGCCCTCAGTAGTGAAAGGTCCCACCTGATAAGCACCGTGTTGTCGCAGTTGGCCTTTGCCTTGGTTTTCTGTTTCATCCTGCAATGATCAGTCAGCACTTGAGTGAAGAAAAGGAGAAAGTAGATCAGCTCTCTCCAGAGCCTTGGGCTAAATAGACATTTCATTGTTGCTGTGACCACAGTCTGAAGGTTGTGTGTGTCCTTGATTCTCTCAGCAAGGCTTTTGTCTTTCTAGGTCTGTGCTTTTAATAGGACTGTCTCCAAAGTTGATGATTTCTTGGCCAACGAGGCAAAGGGAACCAAAGTGGTCGGTGCACAGTCCTTGAAGGAGATGGTCTCCAAGCTGAAGAAGCCCCGGCGGGTCATCCTTCTTGTGAAGGCCGGGCAAGCTGTGGACGATTTCATTGAAAAACTGGTAAGGCCAGCTCTGTTCACAACTGCTGCTAGTATGACCTTTTTGTTTGTTCCTTCCTCGACTGATTTACTTCAGAGACGCTTTTATTTTCAGTGTCTGAATATGAACTGATCAGTTCTGACAAAATGGCAGAATGACTGCTTAAATGTTTCTTAGTTGGCTGACACTCGGCAATAGCACCTTTTTTTTTTTTGTCTATTTGAGACAGGGTCTCCCTGAAGCACCAGCTGGCCTGGAACTCACTATGTAGACCAGGCTGGCCTGCCTGCCTCTGCCTCCCGAGTGCTGAAATTAAAGGCATGCACCACCACACCCAACCTTATTTTTTTATTTATATTTACTTTTTTTTTAAACTTTTTAAAAAATTTATTATTTTTATGCATATGCATGTATTGCCTGCACGTAGGTAAGTGCACCCGTGTTGTGCAATGCCCAAGGAGGACAGAAGAGGATGTTGGATCCCCTGGATGTGGGTGCTAGAATTTGAACCCGGGTCTTCTGTAAGAACATTCAGTGTTCTTAACCACTGAGCCATTTCTTTTAAATTATGTGTATGTGGGGTAGTATATGTGCATACACTCTTGGAGCCAGGAAATGTCATTGGATCTCCTAGAACTGGAGTTACAGGCAGTTTTGAGTTGCCTGGTAAGGGTGCTGGGAACCAAACTTGGGTCCTCTGCAAGAGCAATGTGTGTGCTCATAATGGCTGAGCCATCTCTCTGGCCCCAGATTTATTCTATTTATTTATTTTCAATGTTTATTTTGTGTATGTAGCATGCTATGTCAAGTATATGGCGGTCAGGGGGCAACTTTCAGGAGTCGGTTCTCCTTACACCATATGGGTTCCAGGCTTGGTGGCAGGTGCTTTTACCCACTGAGCCATCTTTCTGGCCCACTAATAGTATATTCTTGGGTGGTGATGACTATAGGACATTGAAGACATTTCAGTGAGAGTTTATGAAGGGTTAGAGTTTGAGCAGTGGTGATCTGTTCATGGGCTCTCTGTCTTTGATAGGCACAGTCTGTGTGGTCCTGATGCATGCATCATGTTTTTCTTGTGTTCCTCCCCTCTAGTGCTAGAGAGCTATACCAAGGCCTTGTGCATGCTAGGCAAACACAAATACCTGACTGATTTGTTGACTTTATCTTTAGGGAGAAAAAAAAACTCTGCTTATGAATGAATGACAACCAGTAGAAATAAATTTATGTAGGTGCTCAGAAATAATTGTGCAATAACCACTGAAAAAACAAGGTACTATACTCCTTTAGAAAAAATGTTACGTTAAAAATACAGTGACTGGGGCTAGAGAGATGGCTCAGTGGTTAAGAGCACTGACTGCTCTTGCAGAGGACCCGGGTTCGATTCCCAGCACCCACATGGTGGCTATGAACTGTCCTTAACTCCAGTTCCAGGGGAATCCAAAGCCTTCTTCTGACCTCCACAGCATTGCACGACACAGGTGCACCCACATACATGCAGGCAATACACTCATACACATAAAAAAATAATAAATAAGATATTTTAAAAATATTTGAGTAACTAAGGTATGGTGGTGCACCTCTTTAATCCCAGCACTTGGGAGGCAGAGGCAGGCAGATCTCTGTGAGTTCAAGGCCAACCTGGCCTACATAGTTCCAGGCCAGCTGGGGCTACAGAGAAACCCTGTCTCAAAAGACCAAAAAAAAAAAAAAAGACAGTGACTATAGAGCAAAGAACTGAACATACCTATTCAAGGGAATAGTGTAATAGAGTTGTTTCTACAGAGAGAAGAATTTGTAACCAATATGTGACTGTTTTTAAATACATGGCTTAGAAAGGATGCCCAGGGAAGACGTTTTTAGTTGGTTTTTTTTTTTTTTTTTTTTTTTTCTTTTTTCCTTTTTGAGACAGGATCTCCCTGTAGATATCACAGAGATCTGCTTGCCTCTGATTTCCAGGTGCTGAGATTA